AGGAATCTACCAACATAAATAAAAAATCAAAATAATATTAATTAACGGGAATCTGTGCATAATTTAGTTGGACATTTCAAATATAAACTTTTCCATAGACCCCATAAGGAACTCTAATTAATTAGAGCAGGCCAATTGAACATTCAAAAAACCGATATGACACATTAGTCTATTTTCAGAAAATGATCCTAAAAATATCTTATAATTCTAACCCCATAATATGTGTATGATTAATATTTATGGGTAAAAGGTTGTGGAAAACATACCTCAAAATCGGCCAACGTTCCTGTGACTTTAAACTCCCAGCAACATCGACAATGTAAGGAGAAAGCAAACTGCAGAGGCTCCCACGACGAACCAGAGCCGACCAACCGCGAACCAAGTCAGCTAAGCCCTAACTCGACGAAAACCCAACCCCACGGTAGCCTTAATCGGCCGAAAAACACCCCAATGACAGTGATTGTGAGCCAAAGTTGTTGGTTTCGCACTCCAAAACAACCCCCAACGACAACGAAAACAAGGGTCACAACATGAGGGGATTTAGGGAATAAGATCGAGGAACTTACCCTTAACTACGAATGGTGATGGAGATGGGCTGAGTGGATAACGACGGGGTTGAAAGAGAGAAAACAGAAGGGTGGGGGCGCAACTCGTGAAAAAGGAAAAATAGATAGGTTTTGTGATATAAAAGACAATTTATTTTGCGGCGTTTTCTAAAAAACACCACACTTAATAAAGCCTATCGCGGTGTTTGGAGACAAACGTCGCTAACGTACACTTTATTGTGGCATTTATTACTAAAACGCCACTATGACTGAACCTATTGTGGCGTTTTTAGATACAAACGCCACTATTGATGAAACCTTCTGTGGCATTTTTATAAAATCGCCTCTAAATTACCACTATATCGCGACGTTTAATGGAAAATTCACAACTAAAAAATAACCCTATTGTTACTACTATATTGTTGCGTTTTTTGAAGAAACACAACTATTTGATAAACATTAAATTAAATGTATGTATGTACCTATTACGGCATTTTTTTGTAAAAACGCCACGATTGATAAAGCCTATCATGGCGTTTGAAGACAAACGCCGCTAAAGTACACTTTATTGTGACGTTTGTTACTAAAACGCCACTATTAATGAACCTATTGCGGCGTTTTTTGAAGAAACGCCGCTATTTGATAAACATTAAATTAAATGTATGTATGTATGTACCTATTGCGGTGTTTTTTGTAAAAACGCCACGATTGATAGAGCCTATCGCGTCGTTTGACAAACGCCGCTAAAGTACACTTTATTGCGCCGTTTGTTACTAAAACGCCACTATAAATGAACTTATTGCGGCATTTTTAGATACAAACGCCACTATTGATGAAACCTACTGTGTCGTTTGTATAAAAACGCCGCTATTTGATATAAACGCCGCAAAAGGTTATTTATTTATATAAGATTGACAGATTTTAAATATTCCATTTCTTCTCTACTTAAACTAAATTTACTACCATGTACTTTTATGTAATTAACAACCATACATTTTAATTAAGACAGAAGTTATGCATAAAAGTACTTAACAACAAAATACATTATAATTTAGAAACATTAAAGTTATGCATAAATAGTCTTCACCATATTGTTCACTACAATTTAGTCTTAATTGCTCCTTCGTGGGGAAAGGACATAGGAAAGTTGTTTCCTTATTTTACGACGCATCGTTAATTTTTTCGTATGTGTAAACTCTATATGGAGAAACTCTTCATCCATTTCACCAAATAAATCTCCTACCTCCGGCTCACCAAGAAGACTCCTTGCGCGCTTCAGTGCTTCACTTGAAACAGATAACGACCCTCCACCTACAGTATGAAACTTGATTGGAGGTGGCTTGGGAATTGAATTAAACATTAAAATAAATTTAAATAGATGATATAAATGTTTAATTGGAGTAAAAGTAGAGGAAACATTGTGTTCATTGAGGATCGATACTGCTTTTGCAATTGGAGATTCTTTTAACACCACAGAGTTACCAAATTCGGTTCTAAACATCGGGTATTTATCCATTCCTCTATCATTGTTCTCAATAAGCTTCGAAGATCCTACATGCGTACGATTTATGAAATTTGAGCAACCATACAAAAAGGGAAATACATCGGCAGAAAGATTCATAGATTATTACCTTCAAGTAGGAGATCGACCATGGAAGGGTATGGAGCAATAGGAGTTCCTTTCGAGTCATCATCGAGTTTCGACGGCGAGACCGGACCGATAGCCTCCCAACGATAATTTGATCCATCGTCAGAGCAAATACGCCACGTAGACATTCCGATGATAATTACTCTTACTCAAGGCAACACATACTTTTTTTTTCTCAAATACGTAAGCTTTCTGGGTTTTCCCAATTTTCAGAAAACCAACAAAAACAAAAATGAAAAAGATCATTAGTGATAACAGGGATCAAACCGTTGAATTGTGTTATAGTTCGTCAGTGAGAGGGCCGATTTGGTCGTCGAGACAGACAAAAGATGACTTCGCTTGGAATCGTGTGAGGGCCGTTATTGTTCCAGAGAAGAAACTGTGAGGGAAGAAGAGTTGAAATGATTTTAGGGTTTAGGTAAGAGAAAAGGGAGGACAATATATTAAACATTTTGTGGCGTTTATACAAAACAACGCCCCTATTGATCAACATTATTGTGGCGTTTGTCAAAAAATAACGCTAAAATATTATTTATTACGGCATTTTAGAAATAAACGCCGCTAATTTATCATTATATTATGGCATTTGTGGTATAAACGCCACTAATTTATAAATCTATTACGGTGTTTGTGGTATAAATGTCGCTAAATTAACACTATATTACGGTGTTTGGGCTAAAACGCCGCTAAATATCTACTCTATTGCGGCGTTTTCATCATAAACACCGCTATTTATTAACACTTCTGTGGCGTTTGTTTAAAAATGGCGCAAACTTAATCTTAATTGCGGTGTTTGTTGTAAAAATTCCACTATATACCACCATATGGCAGCGTTTGTACAACAAATGCCGCTAAAGTCTAAATTTATGGCGTTTGAATTAAAAACGTTGCTATATGTTTAACATTTTGCGGCGTTTATACAAAATAATACCCCTATTGATCAACACTATTGTGGCGTTTGTCAAAAAATGACGCTAAAGTATTATTTATTGTATTATATTATGGCATTTGTGGTATAAACGCCACTAATTTACAAATCTATTACGACGTTTGTGGTATAAATGTCGCTAAATTAACACTATATTGCGGCGTTTGGGCTAAAACGCCGCTAAATATCTACTCTATTACGGCGTTTTCATTATAAACGCCGCTATTTATTAACACTTCTGTGGCGTTTGTTTAAAAACGACGCAAACCTAATCTTAATTGCGGTGTTTGTTGTAAAAATTCCACTATATACCACCCTATGGCGGCGTTTTTGGTAAAAACGCCGCAATATTTCCACTCTATGGCAGCGTTTGTACAAAAAACGCCGCTAAAGTCTACATTTGTGGCGTTTGAATTTAAAACGTTGCTATATGTTTAACTTTTGTGGCGTTTACTCTCTAAACGCCGCTACAGAACACTTTTGCTGTAGTAGATGCCATTTTAAAATGGGATAAGGTTTGGGTTTTGATCGGAGCAAGATGATAATCGTTTTGAGGGTAATAGCGTCGGCTATGGCTGTCAGACGGTGACGAATTCGGTTGATGAAGGAGACGGGGTTAGGGATTATGTATGATAATTTGGGGAAAAATGAAATGGCACAATCGGGGGGAAATTAAATTGTCACCGAGTTTTAAAAATGGGTAACTTAGGGTTCAAGTCCTTAAACTTCCCATAGGTTCTGAAACAAAAATAAAACTTTGAAAAATTTACAATTTGGTCCAGAATTTCTCCCTTTATTCGACTTTAATTCGATACTTAAAATTATTAAAAAAATACCCCTAAATTAGGGTGTGACACACCGTCTACCAAGATGGGTTTAGAAACGGGCTACGTAACAAACCTCAACATCCGCTACTTCACCCAATCCACATTATACACCTCCCAATTAATATTCATCTTCCCCTAACGTGTTAGGCGATGTAAGGCATCGTCTAAGGTTTTTGGTGGTGGCAGAATCATCTGGACATGGCCAAATTGCTGCAACACGCGATCAGCATGATGCCTCTCGACTATCTTATAGACTATCAACGTGACCACCGACATCCAAACGTGCGAACTGTGATGTATTTCATCTGGAGTACACGCTCTAATAGCACCGTCAATGTACGACGTCTACACGAACTACACAAATATTCATAAACTATGTTACAAAAATGCGAATAAAAATTTGATATTTAATTTATAAATTAAAATTATAAAAGCGATTACCTCGTCTGTCATTTTATCAATCGACAATCTAAAATCATGCAGACTTTCTGGTATGTTGGAGTGACTAAGTGCGACGGTCCACCTATCATTCATATAATAAAATATAATTATTTGTAAAACTAAAAAATGTAGTAATAAATATATAAACGTAGATTATTTGTAATTACCTCTAAAGCAGTGTAAATTGTAATGGGGTCGGTTTTGTAGGAATCGACACTAAAAACGGCATTTGAAATCCAACCCACGATTGTAACAACATCAAACAACCAACCACCAATTGCTTGTTTGTTCAGATGAGCATATTTACAAAGCTCCCAGAACAAAAATGTCATCAATATCAATCCTCAACTCTTATTTTTAACGGCACATAAATCGAGTAGATGATGCAACCACATCAGATGCACTTTGTTTCGGGATTTATCAGGCATCATGATCTCCCAATAACTTTTAAATTATGAGCACGAGCATATTGTTGTAAAATAAAAATAGTGCAAATATATTAAAAATATTTATCGTCAAAAAACTACAATATCATAAACTAAAACAAAATTTAAATACTATAAATAAATTAATTAAATTAACATAGATTTAAAAAAGTACTTATTTAATTTTTATAGCAACATCGACAGGGGACTGCTTAAAATTGTCGTCCAAAATTTAATGTAGATCTTCCCTCCATCCAAATCATCATTTGTCAGAGTAAGTCCGAGCAGCTCCTTATACAAGTTTAGCAAGTCCCCATGAGCCATACAGGTAATAGGATTTTCATCAACAAGCAACCCAATATAGTATGCGACATCTTCAAGGGTAATAGTCGTCTCCCCATAAGGAAAATGAAATGTATGCGTCTCTGGTCTCCACTGTTCAAGCAACACGTTTATCAATGTAGGGTGCAACTTCGTATCATCAGTTACAATGTCAACATAACTAAAACCTGCTTCGTGCAAGTATGGAATAATATCGTCATCAAGGGCCGGGAAACGGTTGATAAAACACTTCAGCAAAAGTTCATATCTCTTCAAATAAACAAATAATTTCGAAACAAACAAATAAACAAATTCAAAATAAATAAATAAATAAAGTCGAAATATAAATAATTCAAAATAAATAAATAAATAAATCAAACAAAATTATTAAGGAACTAAATAAAATTCAATATAATTAAAATTTTGAAATAAATTAATAAATAAAAATTACCGCTGGATTATCCCACCAATAGGTGCATACATGTGGAAGATCAACCTTTACTAGTCCCAGCATAATAATATCAAAGAGAGAATATGTGAGAGAATTTTTTTTAATGAAGGTGTGAGGAATTCATGTGTGGAAGGGCACTATTTATAGTGGTCCTCACACTGGCCCGAAGCAAGGTAAATGATACCTCGCGTTATATGAAACGTGAGGTACGTATAATATTTTCAAATTTTAAATCTCGAAACTTCTGCGAACGATAATTTCTCAATATCCCAGGGATCTCGCGTTATGGGAAACGTGAGGTATTAAATAACTATATTAAATTGGGTAATCTAAAAAGTGCATGGTACCTCGCGTCTTGTATAACGCGAGACATGTTTACGCGCTGGGTAGGACGCGAGTTAATCCTACGTGCGCACAAAGGAGATTATTTTTCTAATAAATCTATTAAGGGGTTATTATTCAAAAAAAAATATTTAATGGTGTTTTTAATTTAATAACGCCTTCAACTAATCTTTTTTTTATAATGAGTAAATATTTACATGTCGTCTTAAAAGAATTAAATATCAAATTTTAGTAGGGTGGAATGAACAAAATTCAATTAGAGAAAAAGATTTCTTGATATCACTTAGACGCGGAGTAACTAAAGTCGTTGGTAAACTATACGTTTAATAGTCTATTTATATTATTTCTTTACTTAAATGAAACTTAAATTTTGAAGAATTCGTCAACCGACCATATGAAGAGAATTACTAAGGGTAAACTATAAGTTTAGCATCCGATCATTATGAATGTTTTGTTTTAGTCATCTGATCATTATGAATGTTTTGTTTTAGTCATTCAATTATTATTTTTTTAAATCAAATTTAACATTACATTTTAGTTTCATTTTGGTCCCTTATTGTTAAAAAATTAATAAAACTACTAACGTGATATTTTTATAAAAAATTCAATGAATGAGACATTACCTTATGTTGACACGACAACATCGTCATTAATTTTTTAATGGTGAATGACCAAAATGAAACCCAAAATATAACATTAGGAATGATTTGGAAACAAAAAATAGTTAGGTGACAAAAACAGAATAAAATCGATAGATAGAGAGCTAAACATGTAATTTACCGAAATCGTGATTACCATATGTCATTAAACCTCGATAATTGCGATCATTCCTTTCTTCTCCAGTTCTGCAGGAAACTGCGAGGAGCATACTCATAAAGATCCAGACCTAAGAGGTATAAAAAGAGGAAAGTTCATTACACAATCTGGGTTAGTTCTTCGTTTAGATTCGAACTTTGATATTTCTTGAAATTGTTGACTGTGTCCGAGTTTCCACGAAGATCGTTATGGCAGCTTTAATCGGAGGGGCTGCTTTAGGGGCAGTTTTTGGACAGCTCCTTAGAACAGTAGTAGAGGCGAGTAGAACAGCTGCCATGTTTCGTGGTACCTTGAAGGAACTGAAGTCCACTCTATTATCGATTGAGCCAGTGATAAAAGATATAGAATCATTCAACAAAGTTTCTGATAAAGAGCACGAAACAAAACAGCTCCTCGAGATTATCCATAAAGGGCAGAAACTTGTCACCAGTTGCTGCAAAATCCACAGGCTGGACTTCATCAAGAAGACCTATTACGTGAAAAAACTTAATCGGTTTAACAGACCGCTCGACAGATTGTACCAGATTATGTAAGTTCAGCTGGTGAGAGACGTGAAAGAGGTGCTGTTTGAAACTAAAGGGAGTAATGTGGGGATTAGAAGATTGAGTTTGAAAGAGGATCTAGCAGCGGGAATGGGTCGTTTAGTCAGGTTTCAGATGTGGAAAAATTCAAAGTTCATGAGCCTCGAGATTTGGGTTCATTCAAAGTTCCTGAGCCTCGAGAGGAGGTTGTTGGATTCGATGAACCCTTGAAAGAGCTGAAGATGGGGTTTCAGTCATTGTTGTATCTGCTCCTGGAGGATCCGGGAAGACAACATTGGTTAAACTGCTTTGTCAAGATGCCGAGGTCAAAGGTATTTCATTCTCGAGCTTATAGCTTGTTTTTAGTTTCTACATCTTTACTGGTTTCATTGTTTATGTAACTTGTGGACGCCTCAATAGCGGATGCTATTGTGGTTATTATAGTTGTGCAATAATGATTTTAGATGTACCTGTCGTAACCGGTTTTCGTCCAGGCACGAATTTTTTACTTGGCGGGAAAAGTGATGTGAATAAATTAATGATTTTGATTTTTTAAAAAATATTTTGGGAGTCGCCATCGGCCTTTTGGGTCAGGTAGGTCGAATACCTAAAAATCATCTTTTAAAAGAGTTTTTAAGAAAACATCGATTAAAAGATAAATTGATCTGCGTTTTAACCAAAAATTCATTCTTTTTAATAATAAAAAGGGATTCGTGGTCGGTTACGTTTAGGGAATGATTAACACCCCTACAATGCCCAAAATTGGTATTTTTTAATTATAAATTGTCTCTATTATTAGAAATTTAAAAATTCAAAATATATTTAATTTATAATCCTATTATTTTAAAATTATAATTATGAAAAATATATATTAATTTATATATTTATAAATAAAATATTTATTTATTTAGAAATATCAGAAAATGACTTCTAGGTGCCTTAAGACAGCTCTTTTCTTTGATATTAATAAATAAATAATTAAAAAAATTATAATTTATAAAAATGGGATATTTAGTAAAAATATCAGAAAACGGACTTCTAAGTGCTTTAAGACAGTCATTTTCTTAATATTGAAAAAATAAATATATATTAAAATATGATTATTAAAAGTAATTTATGAAATATAGGATTTTAACAAATAAACAAATATTATTTATTATATATATATATATATATTTATTTATTTATTTATATAAATAATAAAAATAATAATAATGAAATAATAATTAAAGCAATAAAAAATAATAATAATAAAATAATATTGCAAATAATGATTAAAATAAAAGGAAATAAAAATATAGTATTAAAATGTAAGATATTAAAAATCATAGTCAAAAATAAAAATTAATGATTAAAATGTAAAATTATAAAACTAGAGTCCTAATTCGAAATATTATAAAACTTGAGTGTTAACAGTGTGATTTAACCATAATTCATAATACGGGATTAAAATAATAATTACTAAACTATGAGGGACTAAATTTGATATTTACCTTAAATATATATATATACGGATAAGGATTAAAATCATATAAAATTATGAGACTAAATTAAAAAGATCAGAAAATAGTTCCAGTGACTAAATTGCAATGTTACAAATATATGGGGATTGCGGGTATAGTTTACCTATTTGGGAAATTACACATGTACCCTCCGCAAAACGACGTCGTTTGGGGAGGGTTTTAAATACCCAAACGGCCGGCCCTTTTGGGCCATTCTCTTCATTATTTCTATTTTGCTTCTCTCTCTAAAGAGAGAGAAGCTCTCGTTTTCTCTCAACTGAGGAGAAAATCGGCCACAGTTGGTCACTGTTTTCGGCACCGATCGCCTCCGCCGGCCGCCGTCTCCAGTGGCCGGAGATTACCAAACTACACTAAACTAAAGATCTCAACTCGTAAAGGCCAAATTCGGCCTCTTTTTACCCTAAATCCCCTTAGATCGACCTAGATCTAAGTTTTTTTTACCTTCGACTTTCGGCTTTCCAACGACACAAGGAGGCTCCGATGACTATGATTTCCTCGGTAAGTTTCTTTCCTCTCTCTTTTTTTTCAATATTTGGCTACTGTGGGTGGTTGTTGTGGTTCTGTCTTCCGTTCTTCTCTTGCTGTCCTCCTCTGGATTTTTTTTTTCAGGAAATGGTGGCCATTTATAGGCCTCGTCGAGAGGCTCCTTGGACCGGTCCAAAAGGGGCTCTTTGGTGAGTCACCAGACTAGGGTGGTGACTCACCATAGAGTTGTAGCGTGGAGGGGCAGATGGATCTTCTGGAGCATTCTGTTGAAGCGGTGGCAGCACTGAAGCGTCGGCAACGGACGTGTGGCCTTCTGGAATCAACGGCGGTGGCTGAGGACTTTTGGAGGCGACGGCAGCAGCAGTACTGCTAGGGTTTAGAAACCCTAGCTGAAACCCTAAATTAGTTTAGGGTTTCCTTTTGGGTATGGGACGGTTCTGGTTGGGCCTGGGATTTGGGCTTGTAATTATTTAATAATAATATAATATATATAATATAATAATAATATTTAGTAATAATAATAATAATTTTAATAAAAATTTAAGTAAAATGAAAAATTGGTGTTTACAGCTGCCCCTCTTTGCTCATTCTTGTTTTAACAAGAATAGAGCAAAGACGAAAAAACAATAATTTTTCATTTGACTTCTTTTGAGTAAAACTGAAATGTTAAAAACATCATTCCAGAGGTCTTAAAAACATCATGCACTGCAGGACTTACAGATGACCCTAAGGCTTTGAAAACATCAAAAAGCTCCCGAAGGCTTTTTAGAAACATCATGCACTGCAGGACTTACAGATGACCCTAAGGCTTTGAAAACATCAAAAAGCTCCCGATGGCTTTTTGGAAACATCATGCACTGCAGGACTTACAGATGACCCTAAGGCTTTGAAAACATCAAAAAGCTCCCGAAGGCTTTTTGGAAACATCATGCACTGTAGGACTTACAGATGACCCTAAGGGTTTGAAAACATCAAAAACCTCCCGAAGGCTTTTTGGAAACATCATGCACTGTAGGACTTACAGATGACCCTAAGGCTTTGAAAACATCAAAAAGCTCCCGAAGGCTTTTTGGAAACATCATGCACTGTAGGACTTACAGATGACCCTAAGGCTTTGAAAACATCAAAAAGCTCCATAAGGCTTTTTGGAAACATCATGCACCGCAGGACTTACAGATGACCCTAAGGCTTTGAAAACATCAAAAAGCTCCCGAAGGCTTTTTGGAAACATCATGCACTGCAGGACTTACAGATGACCCTAAGGCTTTGAAAACATCAAAAAGCTCCCGAAGGCTTTTTGGAAACATCATGCACTGCAGGACTTACAGATGACCCTAAGGCTTTGAAAACATCAAAAAGCTCCCGAAGGCTTTTT